CTTGCAAGTAAGTAACTATTATTTGGGGCTGGATAGCATCTCATGACTATCAAAGAGCCTGCTGCATATTGATAAAATGCCAAGGAGATCTCTTCCACCTTGGGACTCTTGCGAGTAAGTAACTATCATTTGGGGCTGGATAGCGTCTCATGACTGTCAAAGAGCCTGCTGCATATTCATAAAATGCCAAGGAGATCTCTTCCACCTTCCTTCTGTCAGACTATACTGCAGCCAAGGGAAGGAGCAGTGGAGTCACAGGAGGTTCCTTGCATCTGCCCACAGGCAAGGGAAGCTTGAGGTTTGAATAATAAATCATACAGCCTCCCCCCCCCCAATCTGGACTCTGCTGTGTTTTAAACAATCTCTGCTTTGCCAGCAGTAGTGAAAGTCTATTTAACCCCTTAATCTGATTTGACCCAGCTGTTCCCCAGAGTGCCCCACATGGGGTTTAGAGTCTGAGTGCAGGAAGGAAGGGTTTGCTTGGGAGCTTTACACAGCAGGCGAGAAGAGGTTTTTTGGAGTTTGGGGTATTTGAAAATGACCAAAGTGGCACTTTGTGTGATGTTGTGAGGGTCCGGTATTGCTCCACAGTGGTCTCTCAGGCTGCATCAGCAGCAACAGTCCTAAGTGGAATGAGATGGGAGGGGTGGAAGCTGTTGGGTTTTTTAATGGGTCTGGACATCTCCCAGGCTTTTGCTTGGGTCTTTCTTGCAAGAGATTAAAACATCTGTACTGTAATGGGGGATGTCAGAAAAACTATACATTTTGAAGATGTAGGGAACGCACGTTTGGCAGTGCTCTGTAGAAGGACAGTATTGCTTTTCTGATGCTGTTGGTACATTTGATTGTGCTGATATGGGATTTGGCGGTTTGTTCAACGTACAACTGATGGTCTGGCTTTAGCCAGAAGCTGTTTACAGACTCAAGCCTGGTCCAGAAATTAAACAAATCCAAGGTACAAAACCAACCAACTACTTTTAAGATGTTGGGAGGAAAAACCTAGGAGCTAGATTACGTCTTTTTCTAATTTATCTTTTCATATGTTTAGCAGGTAATCCATTTGTGTTGTGCATCTTGGAAATCAGTCACATGACAAAATCACTGTTCTAACCAAGAAGGGGACTGGGAAAGCCAGCATGGTACAGTGGCTGGTGTCAGACAAGGGTCTGGGTATAAATGAAGTAAATCAAAATGAACAAGAAGTCCTTGTCAAGTGGTTTAGGATGACACTACTTAACAACATACAGTGGAGCTTTTTGGATCTCACTGGCTCAGTCATTAAGGCAAATGCTTGGATTGCACAGCTGGGGCATAATGGTAACTTGGCAGTGGGAAAGCAAAGCAAGTAGCTGGGCCTGCCCTTGTTTCTTGTTGGACTGACTTGGCAGGGAAGACCTAAGTCTTAGTTTGTGCAACTGATACAGGTATACAGGTTGGACTGTGTGCCAAAGACACCACAATGCTCCTGTATTGCTATGTTGGCTGCCTTGCTGTCAAAGAATGACCTGCTAATTGTCCTAGAGCCAGTGTAATACAGGAGTTGCAGGAGTAGGATTGGGGAAACCGAATTCATATTAATTTAGCCATTAAATTCCTTGAATTACTTTAGTTTGGGGGGAAGACTGTCCCCCCCCCCAGGCCTTTAAAAGAATTCCATCAGGAAAACTGGAAAATTTGGGCGAGCACTGGGGGGAAAGCCTCTTATGAAATACTTTCTCTTTTAGAATGAATAAAATGCTTTGGAAGGCAAGGTTTTGCACACTTAATGTTATGAAAACGTTTGAGGACTTTGTCCAGTAGAAAAATTGGGAAATTTGGAGAACTGTTGGGAAAAAATAACCCAACAAAATAGCTTTGGTTGTTCAGTGAGAAAAACCTTGTCTTACAAAGCATTTCACTCACTCCAAATGTTCAGTATGAATAAGTCAGGAGTTTTTCAGTTTTTCTAGTGGAAAAAAATGGGAAATTTGGGGGGACACTGAAACATTTTTATACTGTAGACATATACGAATACAAAATTTGGAAGGTATTTTTGTTTAAATGTAAATAATTTTGGCAATTATTAATATGCTTTCATGTGTTTAAGGATAATATATTATTCAAGAGGTTCAGTCTTTTCAGTGCTCTAAAGTTGAGCTTAATATCAGGACATGCCGGCAGCCCTATTTACTGTGACTTGGTCCAAAAGAAGTCTCTATCTAAATAATATATTTTCTTTTGTTTACTACATAATTTGTTTTCTGTCTTCAACTTTTATTTTTCCTATCTCTCAGATGGCAAAAATTAAAGCTGTATATACTATGGTAGCATAGGATGCAGAAATTTGCAATTCTTTGTAAAATACTGGGTATACTTGCAGGTTTTCTTATGGAAAATTAGGATATTTATACTTCTAAATTACATAAATAGAGCAATAGTATATGCCAAGTAAGTTATAAACTATGCATTTTATGTTGTTCAATTAGTAAATGAAGTTTAGGATTGATATGAAAGTAAGTAAGGCATATATCTTATCCTCCTCCATTTCTCTCTCCCCCCCCCCTTGTGGAAAAAAGACACTGTTTTTCCTGGGACTTCAAAGTTTCTGGAAAACTTAGATTTGGGGGGGGGGGGCTATGCCCTGGTCTTTTAGCAGATTCCTAGGCAAGTATTTTGTCATTTTCCACCTCAGCTAATGGCCTGTGACTGTGAGGTGGAATTTGGATACAGGGAGAATGCCCAGAGGAGAGAAGAAGCCTCCCAAGCTAGGACAAGGGAGTACTGCTTGAGAAATCACACAGACATGCTGCTATAGGACCACCACGTCTAATTTCTCTTGCACTCTTTTTAGAGAAAGGGAGATTAGGAGAGGGGTCCACAGCAGCTGCTAAGCTGCTTATCAGCCATTAAATGAAGTGCCCTCACCCTGGTGGGGGAGGGAATGAGGGAATCCGCATTCTGAGGTCTGTCCTGCTACTGAATGAGGAGTAGGCCTTTCTTTTCAGGGCAGACCTTAAAGGCCCCCCAGAGATCAGCCAACAGGCCACTGTAAAAAACCACAGTGAAACCTGCCTTGCCTTGTCTTCGCCCTCTCTTGACCATTATGACCAAGTAGAAGTGCAGCACAGAAGGCAGCAGTTGAAGCCTTGCCTTGCCCCAGACCCCACCTAGGAGGCAGAACTGTTGAGAGAGTCCCATAGGAAGTACAAGCAGCTCCTGTTGTCTCAGGGGTGGCCTTCTTAGGAGTGATCAAAGCAGCTGTTTTGGAGTCACAAAGCAGAAGATGGACTGACCCATGAGACACAGTCCTCCAGGAAGTCGTCTTGCACGCAGAACTCCCCAGTGGATTAACAAGAGGCACAGTTATCCTTTGCAAGCCCCACTAGAATGGGCAAGAGCAATTCTTGCAGAGCATGTTCTTTTCCCAAGGGTCTGGAGTAGATTCTAACACAAAGCCTCTTTGGCGCTGTGGCCAAGCCAAGGTACTGCCAGGGGTCAACATGGGGGAGTTCTGCTTGGCGTCCTACCAACTACAGCAGATCCCAACAGCAAATGCATTTGCCTTGAAACACAGAAACTTTTGCTTCAATTCTCCTAGTTTCTTCACTGAGCATGCCTGGAGCCTCTGTGGGGCTTACCCCCAACTCTGTTCTCTCCACCCCAAAGCAAAAGTTACTCTGACTGCTGAGTCTGTTCACCTTAATTCAACCGCCCTTAAATCAGACAGCAGCCATCCAGTTTCCCAGGAAATGGACGTGCCAGTGGGAATGCCCCCTTCCTTCATGTAGTGGAGTGGTAGAAGCCCTCTTTGGTCACTCAGTGCTGAGTCACAGCAACTCAGACTTATTCATTCTGTACACCTGGAATGTTTTGCTTCCAGTGGGCCCCAGGCTCAAACCCAGCATCTCCAGCTGCAGGGTTGGGAAGGACCTTTCTATAGTAGAGTCTTTGGACTGCTGATGTCCGTTGAAGTATTTGCCTATTTTACTGTATTTTATTTAAAAAGCTTTATTTAAAATGTTTCTGTGAAACATGTATTTGAGACAGTTTACAGGAAAATGTAAAGCAATAGAACATTTTTCTAAAATAGCAGCATGCAGGAATCACAAAGCACTAGGTAAAAGTAACTCAAATCCCACAGAGAAATTAAGGACAACCCCAACAAATCCCATTTACAACATAATCAGCCCCAGGAGAACAAGCCCATCTTTGCCTGGCACTGAAAAGGTAGCAAAGAGGGAGCCAGGCGGATGGCCTTTGAGAGGGAGTTCTGTAATTGGTGCATACTACAGAGAAGGCCCTCCTCCTAGAACACCCCCCCAATCATGTTCCAGCAGATTGAAGACCTGTTCACAAGTGACAGGGAATACACGCATGTCTTTCATCTTTTGTGCGTACACCTGTGTAAGAAAGAGCCAGTGTGAGTTCTGTATGCAAATGAAACTGAGGACCAGTAGCTGGATAAACGTGTTGTTTCAATCGCACATTCAGCTGTACACACAGTCAGTGTAACATGACAATTACTTAGCATATCTCCAAAGAAAAATCAAGTGTGAACTTTACACGGATCGTGCGTGCATTCATTGTAATTTGTGAACAGGCTGGGGGCTCAAGGAGAAGGGCTTTGGGGTTATCTGAACTGCTAGGTGAGTTCATATGGGTGGGCGTTAGGGTTGCCAACCTCCAGGTAGTAGCTGGAGATTCCTGGGATTACAACTGATTGACAAAGATCAGTTCACCTAGAGAAAATGGCCACTTTGGAAGGTGGACTTTGTGGCATTATACCCCACTGAAGTTCCTCCCCTCCCCAGGCTCCACCCCCCAGATCTCCAGATATTTCCCAACCCAGAGTTGGACCAGTGGCCTGGCACTGTATAAGGCAGCCTCATGGACCTGTCTCCTTACAGCTTACTGCAGTCTGATTTGTACGGGTGGAGCAAATGGCTGGTCCTGCTTCCTGGGCAGGGGCTGAACCTTAACCTTTTGCTTTCTGATCAATGTTCTCTCTCTTTCTCATGCAGTTGGGGCATGGCCGTCAATGTGCATTCCACATCTGTGACTAGCGAGAACCTGAGTCGCCATGACATGTTAGCATGGGTCAACGACTCCCTGCAGCTCAACTACACCAAGATTGAACAGCTCTGCTCAGGTACTGTGGGGAATCAGAAAGGAGTTGGGGGGGGGGGTAACATGGCTGCCCTGGTAGCAGCTTTATGGCCAGCCAAAATCCCCTAGGCTTTGAGCATTGTTGCTAGGGATTAAGTGACAGATGCAGAGCCAGAGGAAAAAGAAGATCCGCAAATTAATGCAGGTTCCTAGTCAGGATGTGAGGAACAGCAGACGTGTGTGAAAGCCAGCTTTTTGCAATGCCTGTCTTTCTGTCTCTGTATTCCCCCCTTCAGGTGCCGCTTATTGCCAGTTCATGGACATGCTGTTCCCAGGCTGCATCCATTTGAGGAAGGTGAAATTTCAGGCCAAGTTGGAGCATGAGTATATCCACAACTTCAAAGTGTTGCAGGCAGCCTTCAAAAAGATGGGTGTGGACAAGGTGGGTTTATTTCTTTATTAAAACCCCACGTTTCCTCATGGTTCTAAGGTTTCATTGTGAATACAGTAAGAATTGTATAAATGCTAATTGATAACAACTATAACTTCTAAATACTTGCTTTTTTAGTGTAGCTTGTCATTTTTTTCCGTAGTAATCACGCCAGCAATTCTAGTTACCCTTGAAGGCCATTCGTATGACTAAAGCTTGCCTGCATCCTTGCCAATTTCTGTTCTTTGAATGGGGGTGGGGTGGGCTTGATAAACTTGAGAAGGACTGCTGGCAGGAGCCTGGTAACAATCTCCTCTCCTTTCCTGTGACGGACTTCTGTGGCTGCAGATTATCCCAGTAGAGAAGTTGGTGAAGGGGAAGTTCCAAGACAACTTTGAGTTCATTCAGTGGTTTAAGAAATTCTTCGACGCCAACTATGATGGGAAGGAGTACAATCCATTGCTGGCGAGGCAAGGCCAAGATGTGGCCCCCCCTCCAAACCCAGGTGATCAGAACGTCAACAAATTCAAGAAACCCATTGGCTCTGCAGGTAATGTTGCCAGAGAGGGCTGGCACCCAGGATCCCACCAGCATGACCTCAGCTCCTTGGCATCCAGCTTGGCAGTTCCTGGGGGCACACAGGGCGGGCAGGGAGAAGGGAGTCCTGCCCTTGGGAAGCAGCAACCTGCTGTGTGGCATGTGGACTTTGGAGGGCTGCTGAGAAATTCCCTGGTGGCCAGATATGCAAGAGCATCAGACTCGCCCACCTTTTCCTGAGGAGAATATACATCCTCGCATGCTGCTGTGCTTGAGTGGGTAGAGACTGATTGCATTGCATGGCGGCTCCTGTCATTCCCTGGGCAACAATTAGGTCTGCTTCTCTTCAAATCTCTTGCTCAGCCCCACTAGCTGCTCTTTCCTTGAAGAAATTTGGAACTGGGACCCACCAATCTGGCCCTGCAGCCCTAGACAGGTTTTACCTTCAGGGGTGAGTGACTTGCCACACAAGCCAAGGCCCTGCCTCCTTGGAGCTTCTCTGGCTGCTCCTTGAAGTTTGTAAAAGCGCTTTCCCCATCTTCCCTGTTCTCTTCTCACCACTGTGAGGAGTTATGTGGTCTCAGTTGGACTGATGAGGTGGAGGGCTGGAGACCAAGAGTGTGGCTTTTGCAAAGCCATTCAGTTGCTTGAGTTCAGGCATGCCAGTTCTAAGACCTGTGAACTGCAGAGCCTTGGAGTTTCTCTTCAGAGGTTTAGTGCTGGCTGGTCTGGGAAGTTTATTAATAAATAAATAATTATTAATTTGTTGTTGTTCAGTCACACAGTCGAGTCCGACTCTTCGCGACCCCATGGACCACATCACGCTAGGCCCTCCTGTCTTCCATCGTGCGCTGGAGTTTGCTTAATTTCATGTTCGTTGCCTCAATAACACTGTCTATCTCATCCTTTGCCATCCCCGTCTTCTTTGACCTTCAATCCTTCCCAGCATCAGGGTCTTCTCCAGTAGTGCTCCCTTCTCATTTGGTGGCCAAAGTATTTGAGCTTCAGTTTCAGTATCTGGCCTTCCAGGGAACAGTCAGGGTTGATTTCTTTTAGGATTGAATGATTTGACCTCCTTGCAGTCCAAGGGACTCTCAAGAGTCTTCTCCAGCACCATAATTCAAAAGAATCTATTCTTCGGTGCTCGGCCTTCCTTATAGTCCAACTCTCGCAGCCATACAGTACTACTGGGAATACCATTGCTTTGACCATACGGACTTTTGTTGGCAGGGTGATGTCTCTACTTTTTATCATGCTGTTTAGGTTCGCCATCGCTTTCCTCCCAAGGAGCAGGCGTCTTTTAATTTCATGGCTGCAGTCACAGTCTGCGGTGATCTGGGATCCCAGGAACGTGAAGTCTGTCACTACTTCCACGACTTCCCCTTCTATTTGCCAAGGAGTGATGGGGCCGGATGCCATGATCTTAGTTTTTTTGATGTTGAGCTTCAAGCCCACTTTTGCGCTCTCCTCTTTTACTCTGAGCAAGAGGCTCTTTAGATCCTTTTCACTTTCAGCCATTAGAGTGGTATCATCTGCATATCTGAGGTTGTTGATCTTTTCCCCAGCAATCTTAATTCCCGCTTGTGATTCATCCAGGCCAGCATTTCGCATGATGTACTCTGCATATATATTAAATAAGCAAGGTGACAGTATACATCCTTGTCGTACTCCTTTTCCTATGCTGAACCAATCAGTTGTTCCGTATCCGGTTCTAACTGTCGCTTCTTGGCCCTTATACAGGTTTCTCAAGAGACATGTGAGGTGGTCTGGTACTCCCATCTCTTTAAGGACCTGCCATAGTTTGTTGTGATCCACACAGTCAAAGGCTTTAGCATAGTCAATGAAGCAGAAGTAGATATTTTTCTGGTACTCTCTTGCTTTCTCCATAATCCAGCGAATGTTGGCAATATGATCTCTCGTTCCTCTACCTCTTCGAAACCCAGCTTGTACTTCTGGTAGTTCTCTATCCACGTACTGTTGAAGCCTAGCTTGTAGGATCTTGAGCATGACCTTGCTAGCGTGTGATATGAGTGCAATTGTGCGATAGTTTGAACATTCCTTGGCATTGCCCTTCTTTGGGATTGGAATGTATACTGATCTTTTCCAATCCTGTGGCCACTGTTGCGTTTTCCAAATTTGCTGGCAAATGGAGTGCAGAACTTTAACAGCATCCTCTTCTAAGACTTTGAATAGCTCAGCTGGGATACCATCACCTCCACTAGCTTTGTTGTTAGTAATGCTTTCTAAGGCCCATTTAACTTCACATTCCAGGATGTCTGGCTCGAGGTCAGTGATTATACCGTCGTGGTTGTCAAGGACATCGAGGTCTTTCTTGTATAGTTCTTCTGTGTATTCTTGCCATCTTTTCCTAATCTCTTCTGCTTCTGTTAGGTCCCTACCGTTTTTGTCCTTTATCATGGCCAGCTTTGCATGGAACGCTCCCTTGATTTCTCCAATTTTCTTGAAGAGATCTCTAGTCCTTCCCATTCTATTGTTTTCTTCTATTACTTTGCACTGTTCATTCAGGAAGGCCTCCTTATCTCTCCTTGCTGTTCTCTGGAAATCTGCGTTCAGTTGGGTAAATCTTTCCTTTTCGCCTTTGCCTTTCGCTTTCCTTCTTTCCTCTGCTATTTGTAAAGCCTCATCAGAAAGCCACTTTGCTTTCTTACATTTCTTTTTCTTTGGGATGGTGGTGATTGCTGCCTCCTGTACGATGTCACGAACCTCTGTCCATAGTTCTTCAGGCACTCTATCTATCAAATCCAGACCCTTGAATCTATTCTTCACCTCTACTGTATATTCATCAGGGATGCGATCTAGGTCAAACCTGAATGGCCTCGTGGTTTTCCCAATTTTCTTCAGTTTAAGTCTGAATTTTGCAATGAGTAGCTCATGATCTGAACCACAGTCAGCTCCAGGTCTTGTTTTTACTGACTGGATAGAGCTTCTCCATCTTTGACTGCAAATTATATAGTCAATCTGATTTCGGTGTTGCCCATCTGGTGATGTCCATGTGTAGAGTCGCCTCTTAGGTTGTTGGAAAAGGGTGTTCGCTATGACCAGTGTGTTCTCTTGACAAAACTCTGTTAACCTTTGCCCTGCTTCATTTTGCTTTCCAAGGCCAAACTTGTCTGTTATTCCGGTTACCTTTTGACTTCCTACTTTAGCATTCCAGTCCCCTATGATGATGAGGACATCATTTTTTGGTGTTAGTTCTAGGAGGTGTTGTAGGTCTTCATAGAACCGGTCCACTTCAGCCTCTTCTGCATCAGTGGTTGGGGCATAGACTTGGATTACTGTGATGTTGAATGGTTTGCCTTGGAATCGGACAGAAATCATTCTGTCATTTTTGAGATTGTATCCCAGTACTGACTTTTGCACTCTCTTGTTGACTATAAAGGCCACACCATTTTTTCTACGAGATTCCTGGCCACAGTAGTAGATATAATGGTCTTCTGAGTTAAATTCGCCCATTCCTGTCCACTTTAGTTCACTGATTCCTAAGATATCGATGTTCAGTCTTGCCATCTCATTTTTGACCATGTCAAGCTTACCTTGATTCATAGATCTTACATTCCAGGTTCCTATGCAGTATTGTTCTTTGCAGCATTGGACTTTCCTTTCACCATCAGACACATCCACAACTGAGCGTCCTTTCGGCTTTGGCCCAGCCGCTTCACTCTTTCTGGGGTTACTTGTACTTGCTCTCTGCTCTTCCCCAGTAGCATATTGGACACCTTCCGACCTGAGGGGCTCATCTTCCGGCGTCATATCTTGTAGCCTTTTGTTACTGTCCATGGGGTTTTCTTGGCAAAGGTACTGGAGTGGGTTGCCATTTCCTTCTCCAGTGGATTGCACTTGGTCTGAGTTCTCTGCTGTGGCCTGTCCATCCCGGGTGGCCCTACACGGCATAGCCCACAGCCTCATCAAACCACGCAAGCCCCCTCGCCACATCAAGGCAGTGATTCATGAGGGAGAGTTATAATTAATAATTATTAATAAATAAACAAACTTTCTGTCCTGCCCTTAAAGCTGGGAGGGGCTATTCACCCAAGGCTTCCCTGGGAGCTTTTCCACACCTAGAACCACCGTTCTTTGTGAGTGGCTCCATCTCCCAGTCCCCCTGATCTTAATAAGGTGATAAGGCTTCGCTTACCCCACAGACCCAGTTCTTCACAGCTTTCATAATGCCTCTGGAGTTGATCTCTGCCAGCGCCAGAGCACTTTGGACTTCTTACTGTGGTGGTGGCAGTGCCTCTTGGTCTCTTATAGAAAGTCATTCCCAGTGTGTCTCTGTGAGGTGGGGGGGGGGAGTCTGAGGGCAAAGGAAATGGAGTCTTTGGGCTGAACAGGGCTCAAGGGGAGGGGTTCAGACAACCATCTTTGTTGCTTCTCTAAGGAGAGAAAATGTCTGCCTTGTGGCGAGTCAGCCAGTGCTGAGTGGTTCCTTGGAGAGGCTTGCATCTCCTGACTGGTACAGGTGCCTGCATCTGCCTGCTGAGTGGAGGGAAAAGGTGTGCTCATGAATGGAGAGTTGGAAGGCCAGGAAATCACAAATGAAAGCAGCCTCGAAGTTCTGCATGGCTCTGCCCAGCTGGGCCTGCTTGCTTCTCTGTGTAAGGCTGGCCGCGCCCTTTGGGGCAGCTTTGGGGCCGGCTGAGGGAACAGTGTGTGTGTGTGGTGGGGAATGTGACTTCTTTTCCCTGCATGTAGCTTTATGCTGCCCGTTGCGGTGGTGGTAGTTCGTCTGCACAAAAAGTACCAGCCTCTGCTCCAGTCGGGTGGGGATTAGGCAAAGTGGATAGGAGTTCCTTTCCCCACCAAGGGTCATTCCTGAATTCCCACAGTATTGGAAGGGATCCCAGAATGAAGAAGCGTCTGTCCGTGTGCCTCTCTCCAGTGATGAGGAAGCAAAAAGAGGCCTAGTTTTCCCTGATCTTCCTCTTCTCTGCTTCCCAAGTGGTCATCACTTTTCTGCGACCAGTACAAGACCTGCATGTGCAGACATGTACATTCTTCTCTTGCCCACCCCAAAGTGTGTCTCAGACTTGCACCTTGCAGGTTCTTCTAGTCTGTTATGGTGGGGGCTAGTCAGTCAGGGGACTCATAGTAACTTCTCTTTCTCTCTCTGGCTTCTTCATAAAGTCCCGCAGAGAACCTCCCCAACAGGCCCTAAGAACTTGCAGAATCCAGCCAGGATGAACATCGCTCCCACCAATATTGTACGGAAAAACACTCCTTTGGCCCGGAACGGAGGCAGCGAAGCCGATGCCCAGATCCTGGAGTTAAACCAGCAGGTGCGGGATTGGGATGGTGCTGTTGGTTTCTCAGAGGAATGTGAAAAGGATGTGGAGGGGTGGGGGTTGTCTCCTTAGAGCAGTCTGGTGAATTGCAGAAAGACCCCCCCTCCTCCCTCAGGCATGGCCATGTGATGAGGGGCACTGTCAGCTGGATGTCAGGATAACATCTGCCTACCCCCTTCCAGTGCTACTGCTGTACAGTAATGATTCATTTGCTACAACTCTAAAGGGAGCAGTTGGGCTTATTCTTCTGCTTGAATGGCAAGTGGCTCAACTTGGCTCCCATCCTCATTGAGAGATCCCCTCATTGAGAGATTCCCGCACACTTTGCGGAGGGTCCCAGTTCAATTTTTGACATGCCCAGTTCAAGCAGGCTTGGAATAGGCTCTCTTGCCATACCTTTAAATCACTCCCTTTAGCTGCTCACCCGTTGACTTTCCTTTAGGTGCATTAGTAGCTGCTAACTAGCTTGTGCTCTCTTGTCCTTGCAAATACCTGAGCTGCTTCGCTTTGTGGATAAGCTTTCCCACTTTCATGTTAATGGGTGGGATAGCTACATGCATGTTGCCTATGAAAATGCACTGCAAAACAAAGGAAATAATCTGTGCTCAACAATAAACAATCACGTCTTGAACAATCATATCAAAATGTAATTAGAATATAATAAAGAGGACACAGGCCAGTGTAATACAAATATAATGAAATTAAATATAGCAAGGTGTGTTTTACATACCACAGAGCATAGGTATAGTTAAACTATATCAACTCATATGCCAGAAACTCCAATAATATAGAACACAATCTGTCAGTTTCAACAGTCCCACAGGAGTTCAGGGATTCCCTGGAGCCTGGTGGATGAGCTTAATTATAGGTTCCTTCGGTATTCTAATTTATGTGTAAGCTAGCTAATAAAAAGCCACGTTTCACCAAAGGCTTCTTCACAAAGATGGAACTCTTAAGTTTTCTATAAATAAGCACATAAAACTCTTACCACAACTCAAAGATGGAAACACACACATAGCAGCCATCAGCAGAACTTAAAATTACCTGCTCCAAAGGGAAAAATTTCACCAACATGCTGTTTCCTTGCGCAGATGATTTTTCATGTTTCATCTAAATGTTTACACATTGGTTTCCAGTTTTGTATTTGTATGTGCTTGTGTTCTATATTATTGGAGTTTCTGGCATATGAGTTGATACAGTTTAAATATATCTATGCCCAATTTCATTATATTTGTATTACATTGGTCTGTGTCCTCTTTATTATATTCTAATTACATTTTGAATATGATTAAGACTTGTGATTGTTTATTGTTGAGCACAGATTATTTCCTTTGTTTTGCATACTTCTTCTGTGCTGCTTTTTGGTTTTGTTTATGAAAAATGCACTGTGCAAGACCAGCAGTGGGCTCCAGTTCTCTGTTCTGTGTGTGTATGGACATGTGGCATAATGCATGTTACTTCTTATACATTATGGCACAGAAGAGAGGTCTACAGTATGGTCAGCCCAAGGATCTTTATTGAGACTGGAGCTTTTTAACAGTCATGAATTACTAGGAGTCAGATAGCGTCCAGTGTGAGGGCAGACTGCCCAGGAAGGAGGTTGTTTGGGTTGAGTTTTATAGTTCTCTGTTCGGTGGGTTGCAGCTTTCAAGAAGGTGAACATGTTAAGGATTGTTAGGAAATGATTTTAAAATTAGACACCAGTGTCAAAAAGCCATTGCATAAACCTTTGGTATGGGCACACTGGGAATCCTGTGTGATATTCTGATCACCCTATCTCAGAGGATATCCCAGAGCTGGACTCGGCAGCTAAAATGACCAATAGGATGGAGCACCCTCCCTATGAAAAAAGGGTTAAACTTTTTAGCCTGTGAGGGCAAAGATGCTTGTAGGGAACCATAAAGAAGCCTGTTGAATCATGCCAACACCCCTCATAATCTAGCAATCCTAATTTCCCATAGTAGCCCTTTCCCATAGTAGCCCTGTCTTTTGCAATCTAATGTGAGAGGGCAATGCTTTTTTTTGGATGTCATGATATGCTTTGAGAAAATTTTTCATTCCTTGACCATTGGTTGTGGGGGGATGGTCAAGAACTGCTCTAGGTTCACATGCTTTCAATTCGAGTTTTCTCTCCCACCTCTCACCCCCTCCCAAACAAGAGGAGAGTGCCTCTTTGTGCGTAAGGAGCCTTCCCACTGAGTAGGCACCCTTTGTATCACAGGGTACTTTTCCCAAGCAAGGGCCCCCAGTTCATCAGAGGCAAAGAGCCTTTTTCCAGTGCCAAGCTGGCTCCAACGAGTGAGCAGGCAGACACTTTCTCAAGCCTGCTTTCTGGCTCCGGGCGGAAGTTTTTAAAAAGGCTTAGGTTGGGTGGATGGCCGCTTTTCTGGCCACTTGGTTTCACAAATGGTAACCTTTGTTTATTTCTTTGCAAGTAGCAGCAGTAGCAGCAGCAGCAGCACTTCTCCTTGTATAAGGCTGAAAAGGGGGAACTGGGCATCATTTGGCAAAAAAGCTGCCTAGATGCTCTACCTGGGCACTGACTGGTTAGTTCAGTTACTTTCAGTGGAGCTCTCTAGGGACAGCTGAAACATCTCCAGAGTTTAAAAAAAATGCATGCACCCAACACACAAACCATCCACCTGTGGTAGAGAAGAGAGGTATGGGAAAATATGCTAACTACATCAGCTGAGACCCACTCAGTGGGTGAAGATGCGAGCCAGTTGTTTGTTAGCCAGCACACGGCAGCCTTTCCTTCTCCATAATGGATTGATTTGTTTTTCTTTTTCATCCACCCCTAATCAGATGTTACAAATACTGCAAGGAGCAGCTCCCTCTGCAGCCATGCAGGGAATTTGTCTTAGCATTGGAAGGGCTAACCTACTGTGATTAACTATTTGTTAAAAAAAAGTGGTTGTAGACTAGTCTCCACACAAACACTTACTCAGAGTGGGCAGACAATGTGCAGGTATTCTAAACCACTAAATGTGGCCGTACTGAAAATGTTTCCCTTTTTTCTGCCTGTCTCTACTGGGGCAGTTGATGGACCTGAAGCTGACGGTGGATGGGCTGGAGAAGGAACGTGACTTCTACTTCAGCAAACTGCGAGACATCGAGCTGATCTGCCAGGAACACGAGAGTGAGAACAGCCCCATCGTATCAGGCATCATAAGCATCCTGTATGCCACAGAGGTCAGTACAGGAAGGGAGAGGGCAACTTTCGCTACTGATGAGGGAGAGGGGTGGCTCCTGGGCCGTTCGGCCTGTTTGCCCCCCTGGGTCCACCAAGGCAGCAGCTGACCATGACTCTGAGCATCTCCCCTTGCCCCTGCAGGAAGGCTTTGCCCCCCCAGAGGACGACGAGCTGGATGAGCAGCAGCATCCGGAGGACCAGGATGAATACTAATTCCACACTCGCTCATTGTCTGTCATGACAGACCACCCCATGCTCCTCACTGACCATGGACATTTAAGGTTTTTGCGTTGTACAGCCTCGTCCTGCACAGTCCACACATTATAACAGGTTTCTTACCAATACAAGAGGCCCACAGTGGTTTCTGTATGTTTTGCAGATCCCGCAGGAAGCCCCACGACGACATGGTAAATAGGCAGCAGTAGAGGGAGGAGACCAGTGCTGTAAATAGGCCTGTGGTGGGGCAGGACGCCCGGCATGGTGCCCTGGGCTCCTTCCCCTCCTCGCCCTATCCCATCCCACCCCCCATCTTCCTTATTTATTGAATTTTTTTTTCCAGTTGTCTTGGGTGTGAGCGCTCCCAACCCCCTTGTATTATATTGAGAGACAAATTCTTTGTATATTTTTCCGTACTGGATTTCGCTAGCACTTTGCCTGTTGTGTTCATGCCGAGCCAAGCTTTGGCACCCCCTCCTGGTTTTGGGGGTGTTTGAGCCTGGAGGAGGCCAAGCCCAGAACTGGAAGCTCGTTCAGTGGGATGGGGGTGGGGGTAAGGGTTGGACTTGGAATATTTATTTATTGGGGGGTGGGGTGGATTTTAATGATGCTGCTGAGAATGTGGCTTTTCCAGCTGCTCTGTCTGACATATCGAGTGGGCTTGAGGGGAGGGAAAGGAGATTTCATTCTGTCTGGGGCTTCATGGTGAAACCTGGGGGGACACATCAGCCTTACAGGTGGGAGCAGGTGGGTGAGTGGAAGCCCCCCCCCCCAAGAATGATCTTCCTCCATAAATGCCTCTTATTTGAGTTCCACCCAATTGCACTTGGGACTCACCAACTAGGAGGGGCTCAGGCCTCCTCCCCCACCCATGGTTCTGGCCCCACCGAAGTTTAGTTCATACTGTTTTGACAAGATTGCCACACAGACTCTGCCTTGACCCCGTTCCCTGTTTGCATTGCCTGTCCAATCACAGACACCGGTATGCAAAGCCTGCATCTGTGTTGCGTTTTATTTAAAATAAACTTGTGTGGTTTAAAAACTTGTCCCAGTGTGTCTGTGCTGTGAAGCCCCAACTTTCACACTCAAGGCCAGGGCACACTTCAGGGCCATCAGGAAGAGAGGGGAGTAAGAGTGCCTGCAGAACCTTTGAGAAGACCAGCGGTCTTTTGTCTCCAAGTTGGCAATCCCCTCGCCCTCCTGCTTCAGCATTTTTTTTGCAGAGGGGTGAAGTAGTCTTTGATCACAGGCGCTAAACTTAAAGAGTTCTCGTTGTCTCAGATGAAACGGTTAGTGTGTGTATCTTGCTGCTCAAAAGTCAGGTGCCAAGATAGCAGGCTGTCCCACCATGTGGTAGTGGCACTTCATGACGACCCTCTTTCAAGGCAAGAGACGTTCAGAGGTGGCTTGCCATTGCCTGCCTCTGCATAGCAACCCTGGACTTCCTTGGTGCTCTCCCATCCAAATACTAACCAGAGTCGACTCTGCTTAGCTTCCGAGATCTGACAAGATCAGGCTAGCCTGGTCAGGGTATTGTCCAGCCATACCTGCCTTTAAACCCATTTCCCTTGCCTGTGCTCCAGGACGGCTCTGCTGTTTTTACACCCTGCAAGGTATCTCACAGGTGTGGGAACACTGGTCCTCTGTTCCTAGCTCAGACCTGGCATTTCTGCAAAACTACTCAGGTCACAGCATAACTGTAAAAGCCACCTTGTCATCCACCTCTCCCCTCCCCCTGTGGTGTGTTTGGAAGGATTTGAGGCCAGCATGTCCCAGGAGCTGTCTTTTTGGACCAACTGTTCTCGCATCCATGATGCTAGTCCTTGTGATGGAACACAGTAAGGGACAATGGGTGTGTGCACAGCCTGAATTGTGCTCTTCGTTCCCATCCTATGCAAGCTCCAGTTCTACTGTTCCTTAGCGGCTAGGAGGTTACAGATGGCTGCTACAGTGTGGAGTCTGCCTGGTTAGCTAATTGCAGAAGAAGAATGTGAAGGTAAGATCAAAAGCTGTATGTGGATATCATATGACTAGGTGGAGATACACAGGAAACAAGGTGTTCAGTAAGAGGAAAACCAGACATTTGGGTCTGCTTTGCCATATCTGGCATCTCCTATCTTGTAAAATGTTCTTAAACATTCAATGATATTTCCCCCCCTATCTACTTATACTGGTACACAGATCCATTGATCTATGAAGGGGTGTGTGGGAGTGTAAGACACCTGTGATAAACCTTGCTTTCTTCTCAGGATATGAAGGAAGATTTAGGCTTATTTTAGGGGGGAAACTTATCTTTTATAAGATTATAAAGTTATTCCGTGTGCATAGAAAACTTCTTGATTATATATAAACTTGACGAGCAGAAAGGAAATACTTCACAGAAGTCACAATTACAGAATACACAGCCTCAGTGTCATGATGACCACTGGTTTAGGTGTTTTAAAAGGGGACAGCTATGCGGAGGCTGCGTGAAGCGGCCTTATACTGAGTAGGACCATTGGTCTGTTCAGAGTCAGTACTGTCTATTCTGACTGGTAGTGGTTCTCCAGGGTCTCAGACAGAGGTCTTTCACATCACCTGTGACTTGATCCTTTAACCCCCCCCCCCCAAAAAAAAACATGTTCTGTGGCAGTACCCATTACAGAAAAGTAAAGAATAGGGAAGGACTGTTACCTTTGTCTCCTGCTTGTGGGCCTGGTGGGAAACTGGGTCTTTTGTCTGATTCAGCAAGGCTCTTCTCTTAATGACAGATTAGTACGTTCAGTGGAGATGTGCATAAATACAACTTGTTTGTTCTTGCCTTGGCCACACAGTGGCACTCTTGCTGCATCCAATATAGCTGAATCCATTTGGAGCCACCCAAAGATTGCTTGACTTGGAGGGGAGGAGGCAGTTTGGAAACCACTTCATCGAGAAGGAGCAGCTTTGCTCTAAGCACACCCCATCTCTTGTACAACCTTCTTACACCTAACTTCTCCTACCAGCTAGTATTAACTTCTGGCTTGGTGGTTGATGCTCACAACAGATTTCAGTTGCTTAGAAGGTGGCTATTATGTCCTCGATTTGGTATGCTGTTCAGTCCAGAGGTACTGCTCAAAGGTAGGTTTTGCTTTAGCAATAGATGGCCTCCCTTCTCTGACGCTTTTCAAGAAACACCCCAATTCAGGACTTAAGGAAGCTAGTTGGAAAAACAGTTGCCCAGACATGTACTAGTATTTAGCACCTGAAACTGTCAGCCCTTCACAGAGATTTGCAGAGGCCTGCTGGGCATCAAGCAACTACATCCTTTGGGCTTCTCCTCCTGCCTGTTCTGTATTTCTTTGGAATGGCTAGTTACACCATCTAAGACCAGATGCTGTGACTCAACTATGAGCTATGTCTCAACTATGAAGATCAAAGGTCCTTTTCCACTCTGGCTGGTTAAAAGACAAGAGTCCAGCTGCCAGCAAAGCATTTACCTGGGGAAAGGGGAGCAGCAACTTTATTTCCTTGGTGAGAAACAAACCACAGGCTTATCCTAGCTAGTTGTTCATGAACTCTGTGTTTGGTGCTCAAGTTTGCAGAGAGTCTCTGTTCGATAAAGAGAGAGACATACAAAGCACCAAGGTTTTCTTATGTAACAGAAGCATGAGCATTCACTGGATTTTTGTCAGCTTGCACAGCTACCAGTTCCTCCCTCTGAGGCTGATTCAGGGCAATGGGACATTCATAACTAAAGTACTCCAGCTGTGGTGGGGTTTTGCTTGCTCCATGCCTGACCTGCTGCACTCTGCTAGAAGGTAAATTTAGGTCCTGAGTTTTTACTGTTAGGCATAAAATAATCCCATTTTCATGTTTCACTTCTAACTAGGATCTCTGGTTACCAAGTTTCAGTTTCATAGCGCATATATTAATAGTTTTACTGTAGGGCAGAGAATGCATGCCCTGCCACACATTTTGGATTAACATAGCCATGTCCCATTGTTAGCCTTTGTAAACAATATGTTTTATACCAAATTTGAATTGGATGCAAGGATAGAATCTAACCACTTCCCTCCCCCACTGCTCTCCAAGGTGAGCAATTTTTGTAGAGAAAGTAGATTAATTACTCCTGTATTCCAGATAGACTAGGGCACTTATACAGGTTTAGCTATAACCCAGTGGACCAACTAATGAATTCTTGGCTGATGACCTAATTGGGCCTTCTGTGGAAAAATCAATTTGCTTATGAGTAAAAACTAGTTCTGACACAAAAAACAGCTTTTGTTGTTGAAAGGATGCCCTAGAAGAGGTATTCCTTGCAGCAGCTGAGAGAAGGAAGAAATTTCTAAAAGCATGTGCCAACTGTACATTTTGCAAGGGGTCTGGGTAAAAGTTGGATCTAAATGGATCCTCATTAATTCCTATGATTTTTACACTGAAACAAAATAAAACCACCATCATATTGTAGGCCATGTGTTAGTCTACAAGGGGCACCACAAAAATCACACACCCACAGATTCGTGGCACCACAGCAGCACAAAAACATGATTCCAAAGGACGGATCCTCATGAATTCATATGATTTCTATGCTGGAATGAAATAAAACCTACATCATACTGTAGACCATGTCTTAGACTATAGGCAGCACTCCAAAAATCATGCCCCCATGAATTCATGGCTCCACAAAACTGCAAAAACATGGTTCCAAAGCACGGATCCTCATGGATCCTCAGGGTTTTTCAATTGGGTCACCCGAAACACACCATCAAATCACATAACATGTCCATGGCCAGCTTGCACCACAAAAATCACAGATCCATGGCTTTGTGGTGACACCATTCTGTAAAAACATGATTCTGAAGCACGGATCCTCATGGATGCTTGGGTTTTTTGTGTTGGGACACCCCAAACACACCCTTAAATCCCATATGTCCATGGCCACAGCCCGCACCACAGAAATCACGGTGCCACAGCTCTGTGGCAACACCATGCTGCAAAAACATGGTTCTGAAGCATGGATCGTCATGGATCTTTATGATTTTTACATTGTGTCACCCCAACATCACCATCAAATAATATGCCTTGTCCATGGCCACAGAATGCACCACAAAAATCATATATCCACAGCTCTGTGGCAACACCATTCTACAAAAACATGGTTCCAAAGCACAGATCCTCGTGGATCCTTGGGGTTTTTCAACTGGTTCACCCAAAACACACCATCAAATCACATAACATGTCTACGGCCACAGCTTGCACCACAAAAATCATGGATCCACGGCTTGGTGGTGACACCAGTCTGTAAAAACATGATTCTGAAGCACGGA